CACATCTGATTCTCTGCTGTCAGCACAGAGTCCACTTCAGATCCTCTGTCCTGTTCTCTCTCTCTACCTCTCCCCTACTTGCTGTTTCTCTCAAGATAAATAAACTTAAAAAAAAAAATAAATGTTTATCATTTAGCCAAAGAAGATGTAATTATAGACCTATTACAATTTCTAAAACTGTATCTTCTCCTTCATTATTTTATATTGATTTATTGGTTAGGGGCCACGTGCAGACATTTTAGACATTCACTAATTTTACTAATAATAAGTTAAAACTTTCTCTTCAAGGTAGATTGTTTCTCAGGATGCATTTCACAAATCTTTACCTAGGTAAGGGAATTCCTGCTATTCCATATGGGGTATATTTCTTGATCCATTCCCAAAATCTAAAGAGTATAACTTATTTAAGATCTATAAATGCACTTAATATAATTATAAACTATACTCCTTGGTGCAAAAAAGGCAATAGAGAAACTAGTGTGTCTGTGTGTATCCCTCCTTCTCTCTCTCTCCCCTTCCCCCCCCCCCACCATACACCCCGACATTGGTATTTCATATGCAAAAAGTAAAAATAAGAAAAATCAAGGAGAATAAGGTTGAATTAATTAGAACATAAGGAAGATAAGTTAACCTAGAATACAGTTTGATCTGTAAAGCAGCATCCCTGACTCTCTCAAAAACTGTTCTTTTTAAGTTCATTTATTTATTTTGAAAAAGAGAGAAAGCACCAGCATGGGAGGGACAGAGAGGAGAGGGAGAGAGAGAAACCCAAGCAGGCCCTGAGCTGTCAGCACAGAGCCTGATGCAGGGCTCTATCCCACCAACCATGAGATCATGACCTGAGCTTAAGTTAAGAGTTGGATGCTTAACGAACTGAATCACCCAGGTGGCCCCCTCAAAAGCCATTCTTAATATCATTTAAGCAATTTTATAAACAGATACAAAATTCCTCATAAAACTATACACTTCTAAAACATAATGAATTTTGTTTCAATAAACACATTTCTTTTGTAGGAAAAGAAAATATTTTAATTTTTACAAAGAATATATGGTTTCCTTTTTGAAATTTTATTGATGTGAAATGTAAAATTTCAAAAAACCACTTTAGCAGTTGTTTTAATACTGGATTTCAATTTAATACATTGATGTGAAGACTTTTGCAAACACTATCAATTTAAAATATCTGAAAGGGTTACAGGATATCTCTTAACTACCCATATACGATAAGCTTATTTTTTAAAGACTTTACTTTTAAGTAATCTCTACACCCAACATGGGGCTTGAACTCACAACGCCGAGATCAAGGGTTGCATGCTCTACTGCCTGAACCAGCCAGGTGCCCCATAAGCTTATTTTTAAGTAAAAATCATGTTCTGTTGTTTACTGATAGTAATTATAACACAGGCTTTTTCAGGGAAACTGTAAACATTAACCATGGACACTATTTATGAGTTTTTGACTCATCAATAAATTAATACATCAATAAAAATAACTAAATATCCAAGTTCTTATTGAGTACACTTTAATTACTATCATTACTACATGTCAGACATGAAATCTTCATTAATGGGTATGTGTCTTTGTGAAAGAGAGAGAGAGAGATGCAAAACAACAGAAAAGAAATTACACCATTCCATTTCTTATTCCTTGTAAAGTCTACATATGACAGTGCATATAAAAAAGTAGAACTATAATAAAGATTTCTGTATGATTCTATACAACCTAAGTAGTGTTAAAACAAGGTGACTAAATACATAATCATTGGAAACGGAAATGTGGTTTATCCATTATCAAGAGACAGAGAAAGAGCATGAGCACGGGAGGGGTAGAGAGAGGGGGAGACACAGAATCCGAAGCAGGCTCCAGGCTCTGAGCTGTCAGCACAGAGCCGATGCAGGGCTCAAACTCACAGACCACGAGATCATTAGCCTGAGCCAAAGTCGGATGCTTAACCCACTGAGCCACCCAGGCGCCACCAATTAACATTTGAGTGAGCTTGGACAAGTTATATCACACTATGGCCCTTAGATACCTCTTCTATAAAGCAGAGGTGAAAATCTTAAAAGCATCCACTTCCCAGGGCTGTTGTATGGATTTCATGATATCTAACCTATGATCTAGGACCTGACCTGTGTTAATAGCTGTTGACCTCATGCTTCCTGTACGTGTCCAAGCTTTGATTTGCATAACATCACCTCTCCTAGCTCTCTTCTGTCTCAGTTATGGATATCAAAGCATGCAAGACTCACAATCTATTCCTGCTGCTCTTTCAGCTTCTCAGTTCTGCCTTGCCAGTATCGATCCAACCAAAAACACCAAAAATATCACCCCCAAAGACAAGGCTGTTTCAACTTCCATACCTAGTATTACACACTTGCAATACTCTTTGACCACATCACCATCCCTCCCATAGATATATACAACCTTCATCCCCAGATTTTTGGGGGAATTTGGGGAAAAGGCAACTAGGGTGTGCAGCCTCTGAACTGAAGGCTCATGAGTGTGGAAGGGACCATTATTAGTGGCAGCAGACATATTAGCATGAGTAATAGTGGATATAGCTCTATATCTATAGAGTTCTATAGCTCTATAGTGGATATAACTTATAGCTCTTAGGCCAGCTGAGCCAATCTGAATGTGACAAAGTCTAAAGAAACAAAATAAGAAGCCATGCAGGTTAGCCCCCAAGGGGAACCACAGTATGAAATGATCGTGCATGAGTAAAAGAAAGCAAAGCATGATGGGATGAGTGTTTTATTTTGTACTGAACCCATGCACTCCAATATGGACAAATTAGATGCCACAAAAAAAAAAAAAAAAAAAAAAAGGAATCAATTTAGGACGAACACTGGCAAGTCTAATTTGTCCTTTGAGATTTTACTCAGAAACCTGAGTAAATAGCCATCCCCAATTTCCCCAAGACATTATCAGTTGCTCCTACTGCAACGCCTTTTGTATTCACCTCTTGGCACCAAAGAGTGTATAAAAAACACTGTTTAAAGCTCACCTTTACTACACTGACCTCCATCTCAAAGGACCCCTTTCTAATTTATCTTTTCCTACCCAAAAGATGTGGCAGATCACACACAGATTACCCACAATAAATATAATAGATGAAAACAAATCAAAGAGTAATATTTTTTCCCAAGAGAAATTCTGAGGTGAGAGGGAAGCTCTCACCTTTCCTGGTGGAAGACCTCTTTTATCTCAATGAGATTCAAGATGGAAAGTCTACAGAAAGGCAAAGCCAGCTTTGGAGAGTTGAGAGAAGACCTGATGTTATGCACTATGGGAAACTAGATGAGGAGTTAACAATGAATGCATCAGTAAAAGGTTTGCTAATATTAAGGTTCCACAGAGTTCTCATGATTCTTGTTCATCTGGGTGCACAGGAAAGCCTTTTGGAGCCCAATTATGATTTTCAAAGTTTCTAAATTACTTCTAAAAGCTCTACTTTATCCCACACTTGCTGAGGGTTGGGGTGGAGCTTAGGGGTAATGAAGGTAAGAAGGGTGGGGAAATCCAGGTAAGAGCAAACAAGTCTCAAGGCTGAAAGGAAGCACAAAATAACGACAAGGAAAGAAAAAAAAAAGATCATCAATTATAGCACTTCCTCTTTGTAGAGACTGTCTTCAGGTCTCCTTACCATCCTGTTAGTTGACCAGACGTCAACACACTGACACAGTGAAGTCTGTTCCAGCCCCTGTTAGAACCAATTATTCCCCTGTCCCAGAAACAATCTTGTCCACCCAGTATTTAGTGAAACTATTTCTCTCCTCACCCTGGTAATGAGGTCTGAGTCTTCATTAGCTTTAAGACATTCGTGGATAAATTATTCATGATTTTTATTGGTGAGTTCAAAGCTAGACCTTCCATAGTGCTCTGGGCAAAGTGTAAATTTGTGGACTGAAGTAAAGTTAAACTTTTATGAACAAGGTCAGCAATGTACAAAAAGACAGAATGTCTCCCAGGACAGAGGCACAGAGTTCAGTGCTTGACAGGAGCCTAAAGCAAAACCATTAAAATTTTGTTTTTAAATGTCAACACAAGACAGGCTGTTAGCATCAAAAGAGAAAAATGGGAGTCTGCATAGTGTAACTTAGATGATTTTACCCATCAACATATGCAAGAGACACAGAAGCTGGAGGTCAGCAGAACTCCATGAACTGTGTCCTGGCTACGGCCACACTTTGCACTGGATGCAACATTTCCAGTACCATTTCTCTCCCTTCTAATTCCTAACACGGAAGTCAGTCTTTGACTATGAATGCACCAAAGAGTAATAACCCCACTACTAGTTAATAAATTATCACACTGAGCACATACACCAACACTAATCTTCAGCGTACAATTCCCTCCAATGCTACTTCTCATTATAAACATTTTTAACAAACTTGATTGCTCTACCCATTGGTGTCTTACAATCTGGAGAATCAAATCTGCTCAGGGTGTAATTTAAAAGTAGAATTTCCGGTCCCACACGGTAAGAAATCTAGAATCGTGTTTCCACCAAGAAGTATTTGAATTTCCCTGAGTCTGTTAAAGCTACATGTAACAAAATCATATTGTTTGGAAACTCATTATGCTGATGTTTCTCATTTTCATTTAATACTTATTTAACATTTCCTTTGTGCCAGTTCCTGTCCAATTAACTCAATAGTCATTAACTCAGGGCATTTCTTACTATTACAGATGGGATTCTGTAGATAGGTTCTGCTATTATCTCCATTTTACAGATGAGAAAACAGAGAGGCTCAAAAGATTAAATAATTTCACCACAGTTAACAGAGCAAGGATTCAAACCCACGTAACCTAGCTTCAGTATATGCTAGTTACCACCATCAAGCTGTTTCTCATGGGAACCATGCTGCATTTAGAACTTTTAAAAAGACCTTTAGGCCCAAAGTCATTATTTTAGATGTCTCTCCATTTAACATTTTACAAGGGTGTAAAACATAAACTCATTATTCTTCACTGTCAGATACAAAAGAATCTCTTACCAGTTATCTCTGTTATCACAGAAAAGAATATTGGTGAAAAATGACACAGGTTTAGATGATTTAAAGCTGAGGTGGCAGGTGAGCTGAGCATTTATTCCACTGGAAGACCCTGTGATGACACAGCCTTTTGGAAATGTTACAGAAAGAGGTTGAGCCTCATCACCATCAAGAAGGCTCACTGTGGGAATCTGGACATCTAAAGTGGAATCTCTGTTTAAAATTAAAAAAAAAAAAATAGCTCAAAATCCAAGCAAGTCACTGGATGTAAATGTGTCTCCCTCTGTTTATTGAACCATCCGAACAATTAAACAAGTATTTAAAATAATATGCCCAATTATTAAAGATGTTTTGCATCATCTCTTACGTTCTGGTCCCAATATAAGTAAGATGGATAATATATTAAATTGACCACATAAGATGATCCAAAGTTCCTTTTGTCCTCTAAGAACTAAAATAGAGGATTAAGACACCTGATTAAATACAATGTGCTTTTATCGATAGCCATGATATAAACAGTATTGCCCTTAAATATATCCTTATAGAAATTTACCAAAAATTACCACTTTGACAGCTAATGCTTTAATGAATATGGACTAAATATAATATTAAAAGATGCATAAACACATATAATTTTTAATGTGGATACTATTAAGCACTTGTATACATATACTATGAATATTTTATCATTACTAAAAATTCCACTTAACGTTCTTCACACATTTCATTATATACCTATAATTCATTTAAACAATCTAAAATGTTTATGATTTCTAATAACACAGTATGTAGTATACACTTTTAAATATAATACTAGAGCAACGCCTGGGTGGCTCAGTTAGTTAAGCATCCGATTCTTGTTTTTGGCTAAGGTCATGATCTTGCAGTTCTAGAGAAAGAGCCTCGCATTGGGCTCTGCACTGACAGCACAGAACCTGCTTGGGATTCTCTCTCTCCCTTTCTTTCTGTCCCTCCCCTGCTCTCTATCTCTCTCAAAATAAATAAAATTTAACAATAAATAAATACTGGATAACTTTTAGTGCTCAATAAATATTTAACCATATTACTCAAAATTTTATTGTATATGTAGGCTCCTATAGCAAATAAGAAGTATTACTAAATGGGAATCATATTTCCCTAATATGTTAATTAGAATGAAGATTATTCAGCTAATTAACTTTAAAAAGTAAAGAAAGATCCCAACTTAAATTACTCAAGGTGATCGGGTTCACTGGGTAAAAAATTAAAAATGTAATTTACAAATCAGGTTTAAATCCAATTCTGTTGTTAATTAGCTACATGTCACTGGATAAGTCATTAATGCTGTTGATTTGACCGTTCATACAATGAGGAGACTGGGTTATATCATCTCTAAAGTCCCTGTTACATGTTCACTTCATTATATCATATTTTTCAAGATTCAACTTTTGACCTGAGATCATTTTTAAATTTGTTTTTAATATTCATTTATTTTTGAGAGAGAAAGAGAGAGACAGAGTGCAATTGAGGGAGGAATAGAGAAAGAGGGAGACACAGAATCTGAAGCTGGCTCAAGGCCCTGAGCTGTCAGCGCAAAGTTTGAGTTCGAGCCCCACATCATCAGTCTCTGTGCTGACAGCTCAGAGCCTTGAGCCAGCTTTGGATTCTGTGTCTCCCTCTCTGCCTTTGCCCCTTCCCTGCTCACACACACACTCTTTCTCTCAAAAATAAATAAACATTAAAAATAATTTTAATAAAAAGAGACTGAACTAGAGAAGCGCTGAGGTACATACCAGACCTAGACGTTTATGAAAATAATGCTTATAGGCAATTCACAATGGTGCACAATTCCTCACAATTTACATAATTTTAACATGTCAACTAGCTAATCTTTATTTCTTTATAGATAGATGTATATTTCTAAGTAGAAGTTTGTTTGGCTTTCTTTTTTTGTTTTTTATTTGAAGGATATCAACATACATAGTCTTGCTTGACTTAAAAAAAAATTATCTCAATATTTTGTTCCTAAGATTCCTAACATAGTTGTCTCATTAGCTGAAGTTCATCCACTTCACAGCAATAGCTATATTCATGTACACATATATAACAAATTATTATCCTTTTACCTGTCACAGGACATTAGTGCAGTTCCCAGATTTTGCTATTCTGAATAATATTACTATGAACAAAGTCAAACATATAGTACACAAGTGCAAGAGGTTTTTTTGCATACACTATCAAGTGCAATTGCTGGTCTGTGAAATATGCAGATTAAACACTTTGCAGATTATTATCCAGTGTGGTCCTAACTCATTGACATTGTAACTGGGACCTGACTTCTTAATGTTTACCTACCTTTAACAGGCAAAATGCTTATCTTATTGTAGTCTCTAATTTTCATTTCCAAATTTACAAAAAGGTCAATTATATGTTTTCAGATGTTCATTATCTACTTAGGAATCTTCTTCTGTGAAGTACTTATCACAGTTTTTTGGCAACATTTTTGTTGAGTGATTTGATTTTTTTTTAATTTTTTTTTTAATGTTTATTTTCGTGAGAGAGAGACAGAGACAGAGCACAAGCAGGGGAGGTGCAGAGAGAGAGGGAGACACAGAATCCAAAGCAGGCTCCAGGCTCTGAGCTGTCAGCACAGAGCCCGATGTGGGCCTCGAGCTCACAAACTGTGAGATCATGATCTGAGCCGAAGTCAGAAGCTTAACCAACTGAGCCACCCAGGCATCCCTGGTGATTTGATATTGTTCTAATTTTTATCATTTACTTTTTTATTAGCATGAATTTAAGTCTTGCAAGAAATCCTTCTCTACCTACAAATGTTAAAATTGTTTTCCAAAATATTTTCTTTAATTTTTCCTTAAATGTGAAATTTAAGACTTTACTCCATTTGTAATGGATCTTTTTGTATTATGTAAGACAGGAATCCAATTTGAAATATTCCACACAAACAATCAATTGTTCCAGTACCATTTACTGAATAGTAACTTATTTTCTTCCAAGATCTATAATACTATTTATGTCAAATATTCAGTATCTATTCATGTATGGGCTTTCTCCAAGTCTCTTTTTTCTATGCCTTTGGTCATTTTATCTATCACTACACAAATATCATATTGGTTTAGTCTTGATATTTTATAAGGCAAGTCCTTATTCTTCTTGTGGAGTGGTTTGGCTATTCTAGACCCTTGATTCTTCCATGTAAAATTTAGAATTTTCCTTGTTAATCTCCATGAAAAATTTTATTTAAATTTTTATTGCAGTTGCATGAAATATGTAAATTGATTTGTGAAGAAATGTCTTTTTTACAATACTGAATACTCCAAATCATGAATATGGTGTAAATCTTCATTTACTTATGAGTTCTTTGACTTAAGTTTTATAATTTTCTCTATATAGTTCCATATAGTTCTTCCACATCTTTTGTTTGATTTATTCCTATTATTGTTAATTTTTAATGTTTTTATAAACAGTAATTTTAGAGTTCAACATCGTAAATGTTGTATGCTGAAATGCCATATATTTTATTATTGGACTTACATTTGTCTATTTTGATAAATGACCTTCACAGCTTTATCTAATCTACAGATAGTGACAGTGCTTATGTACCTACTCTTACATATTTCATTTCACTTAACTCCCTGGATGAACCAGGTTTTTCACAAAAATGTGTTAGGGAGGCAGTGATTACAGCCATCCTTGTCTTTTCTTTTTTACTCAAAGGGAATTGACTTATGTTCCAGTATCCAAGATAATACCTCTTCTAGATTCATGATAGAAAATTTCAACAATTTAAAGAATATCTCTTTTGTTCCTGATTAAGAATTTTATCATGAATGGTATTGTAATTTTATCAAATGCTTTTTTCTTCTGCATCTATGGAAATAATCATATCATTATTCTCTTTAATTCGTAAATGTGGCAGATGAAATGAAAAGGTATTTTAGATTTTTTAACATTAGGCAAATCTTACAATACTGGGATATACCCACATTGGTCATGATTTATTAATATATTTATATAAGTAATAAATAATATATATAATTTAATTCATTGAGGATTATTGCATCTGTAGTCATAAGAGAGATTGGCCTATAATTTATCTTTCTCAAACTGTCATTCTTTGATTTTATAATAAAAATTTCTGACTTCATAAAACAAATTAGACCACACTATTTTTCTATTCTATAAAAGAATTTCTATAAGGTTTGAGATACCAGTTTCTTGCAAGTTGAGTAAAACTAGCCTGTAAAAAAATCAGAAGATGGCATTTTCCTTCTAAAATGTTAAGTATTAACTCAAAGACTTTGTTTATTCTCAGTATGGTTTTAGTAAATTATATTATTTCTACAAATTTCCCATTTAAGTTTTCAAATGTATTGGAATAAATTTCTTCATAGTATTTTAATTTTCTCATTTTTCTCCAATGCCTATATGATTATATCCCATTATTTTTAAAGTTTATATATTTTGAGACAGAGAGAGAGAAAATACCTGTGCATGCAAGTGGGAAGGGGCAGAAAGAAAGAGGGAGAGAGAGAATCCCAAGCAGGCTCCACATTCTCAGTGCAGAGCCCAAGGCAGGGCTCAAACTAATGAACTGTGAGATCATGACCTGAGCTGAAATCAAGAGTCTGACACTTTAACTGACTGAGCCATCAGGCACCCCATATGCATCATTATTCTTAATATTATGTAGTTGTACCTTCTCTCTTTTTGTTCCTCCTCAATGTCACTGCACCAGTATCCACTGTATTATTTCTTCAAAGAACCAACTTTTGGTTTCAGTAAACCAATCTTCTAATATTTGTTTCCTATTCCTTTAATTTCTACTCTTTTTCATTTTATCTACATTCTACATTCCTTGGATTTAATCTATTATTCTTATTCTTAAGTTACTTAATAGTTGAAACTTCTAATCATTTTTAACATACTATCAGCATTTAAGACTACACATTTCGATTCTGGAAGGAAGATGGCAGTGTAGGAGGATGCTGGGCTCACCGCATCCTGCTGATCACTTAGATTCCACCGACAACTGCCTAAATAACCCAGAAAACCACCAGAAGACTAGCAGAACAGAGTCTCCCGAGCCAAGCACAGACGAGAAGCCCACGGAAGAGGGTAGGAAGGGCGGACAGGCGGTGCGCGCTCCACGGACTGGCGGGAGGGAGCCGGGGCAGAGGGGCTGCCCGGCCAAGCAGAGCCCCAAGCAGAGTCTG